CCAAGTATTTACGTCTTAGAGGAAAACTCTAAACATGGAAGTGTGGTTCTTTTTCAGTCAGAAAGCTGTGGGTTCGATTCTGACCTCCTGCCAAATGTCGGTATCCTAAAAGTTTTCTGTTTTCTAAATTTTTTTTTTTTTGCGATATACTCGAACAAAAGAGATATGGGTCACTCCTAACAAAAAGAGGCTTTTTGTGCCACATTTGTTAAATGCTTGCTTCTACATAAATCTCTGTATTTGTGTAGTTCTGCTTACTTTGGAATTAAAATGGCAGCAAAAAATATGTCAAGATACATACTCTGTGTTGCGCCTGACATTTTTCACTTAAGGATGAAGAATGAATTCGTCTGCAACTTTTTTTTCCGAGAGGCCCTGGCGTCACTGAAGTTTTCAGCATAAAAGATTGTTTTCAAAAGGTGGCAGACGACACCTGGGCTGCGTCTTTAGACTCCGCCCCCAAAACCCCGTTGCTCAGAGTTGCAGTGTCTGGCATATATACTTGGACTTGTTTTTCACACTTTTCAATCACAAACACCAAGTAGGGCATGTGAATATATGAAGGAACACATGGTTTTCAAATATTTTTTTATAAATAAAAATCCTTAAATTGTGGCATTTATTTGTCTTTTATCTCATTTACTCTACCAGGAATCCAGTGTAACCAGTCGCCATGTAAATGACTAGAGCCCATTTGTGTGTAGTGTGAATTCAGCTGTTCTGTGAACGGCTGAGGGTCAATTAACAGCACCATGAGGACGAGAGAAGTCGGTGGACGGGTTGGAGAGAAAGTTCTGGAGAAGTTTAGACCAGGGTTAGGTTATTAAAGTCCAACCCCAAGCCTTGAACATTTCACAGATTGCTCTACTTTTCCCGTCTGGCAGTGAAGCATTCAGAGTCTTGAGTTCCAAGAAGAAGTCCAACAGATTTACTTTCACAAGTGGAGCATTGCAGTTTTTGCTATCATGCAATTGTGCAGAGAGAGAGAGTAAGTAAATGCAACTGTTGCCAGGGAATCTGAGCCAATGAAAAGGAAGCATCAGCTGTGAAACCACATACAAAAAATAAATATTTCTATGTATTGTACACATAAACGCACATCAGCAATGGACATTACAAACATTTGCATATTGAACCAAAAGGTACATTTAGATGAAATATTTCCCACAAATAAAACGGCTAAATTCTTTTAATACTTAATTGCATAAAACAGCCCAAAATATGTTGAAAATACACATCTATTTTTTTAATGATAAAACTAAAATTGACAGTTTTTCCAAAATGCACAACCTTTTTCAAACTCCAAAATTAATAAATACAAATACATTTTGCAATTTTGAGTCAAAAGTGCTTAAAACATCTTATATTCCACCCATTGTGCAATTATAAAATACTTTGTGATAGTCATATAAAATGCATTAAAGGCTGTGGCTGTGGCAAAAGAGTTGTGAAAAGAGTTTTAAGGTGTTTCGACTTTAATGTATTCTCAACTTCAGGTAGTCTCTAATCTGCAATTGAACCAAATGATCACAGTGAGCCCATAAGGATACATACTTAATTCACAAGTCAAGTGCAAAGTTCTAACAAATACTTATTTTCAGATAAGCAGTGTAATGTTTTCTTTTTTTTTTTATGTTCTCTTTTGACCTCTGAAATAATTGATATTTTTCTTATCGGTGTGAACGGATTAGCCGCAGCCTGTTCTGTGACATTCGGCCTTAAATCATCTTCAGTTGGATGCTTTCTCCCTCGTTGGGTCATAGTTGGCTCTAACTTCTCCTGTGCTGGTTCCTTTTTCTCCTCGAACAGTTACTTCTCCTCTGTGACCCTCCTGAATGTTTCTCCGTTGAGTCATCTCGGGCGGCTCTATCTGCGATGGCTCCCGTGCGTTTGTGGCCCTTTTAAGATTTCAGAAAGTGAACTTTGCAACGAGAAACGCACATCTCTGATCCACTTGCTCCTTGGCTCAGGAACGAACGGTGTGGCCTTGTGTCTGAATCCGATCTGATCCCTGGTCCGACGACGTTTCTGTGCTGGAGGAGCTTAATATTTACGATAGCTGCAGGAGATGACCGGTGCTCACCGTGGAGACACGATCCGGTCCAGTCCACTCGGATGCAGGACCCGGATCGATTCTGAAGGCCAACGTAATGATTTTCAGAAAGCTCTTAGTTTGACTAACTGCCTGCAGAGTTATGTACCCAAGCTTCCAGACTACATCACTACCAAGTATATTTCTAATAAGTGGCGGACTGCTTAGAAAAGAGCATGAAATGACAACATAATATAATGCAGGATGACTGGAACACATGCAGAATGTGTCCCAGTCACATCCTGCATTATATTATGTTGTCATTTCATAGCACAATCAAGTAACTATATTGCCTTTAGTTGTAAAAATGCTGCATATATCAAATACTACTTCAAAGAAACTTGATTTTATAATTTAATGCCTTGAAATTGGGCCTTTGTCTCTTTAAAAACTCTTGCTCTTTCTGAAGTCATCACAACTTTTAACAACGTTTTTGCCAGCGTTGTACTGAGCTTGCATAAAGAGCTCAGCGGATGCCCAGTTCCACCGGGTGTTTGCTAATTGCTGCTGGCTAGTCTGAAGGAGCAGAGTTTCACAGAGGAGGGCTGCTCTGTGAGAAGCTCTGAAACTGCAGCTCCAAGGAGGAGCTTCATCCTTGAAGGCGGGGCTTGGTGTCCACCCAAGTGTTTTGCACAGCTGAATGGTTGCCACGGGAGATTAAAGTATTTCTTATGCATGAAAAAAAAAACAAGGCAACACTCCAGGTATGTTGATATGATGTGGAAATGCCATTATAAAATTATGTAAAGCTCAGAAAATGTTATTTTTACGTAGTTATGTCGCTTTAAAGGAAATGGAAAGTTTACATTGGACCCTGATGCAACAGGTTCAATCTTGTCTTTGTGTTTTAGCTCAGTTTGTTCACAAATGTGTCTTGACAATCGACTATCTGTGTTTTTTTTGTTTGTTTGTTTTTGAGCCAATTGAATTTGGCCCCTTTCCTAAATTCACCAAATCTGTCATTAGTGGTGGCAAATTGTGCTTAAGAGCCAGCAGTGTTACTATCTCCAAAAGTACAAAGCATTCCTGGGGTAGAGACAAATGTATTGGGGACGTCTTCCAGCTTTGACCCGCGCAGCTTTTAATGATAACGGAAGCCTACTGATTTATAAATGAGATGATAGAATGACAGAGTAAAACGTGTATCTGAACGATCATACCGCTGGTCTTAATGGATCGAAGCTTTGAATCACCAGCCTGCATTTGATGGAGCTTCACTTTGGTACATAGCCAATGAATTGCATAAAGAAGTCTGCCTTGAGAAAAGCACGTCTCTCCACATCACAGGAAAGTGAGGTGGCCGATTATTTTAGGCGGTTATAGTTGCCAGATGGAAACAAAAAAGACAAATCAAGTATCTTGATCCTGTGCTTCTATGAAAAGAGCAAACAAAAGTGGCTGACGAGACGGCCAACTTTTACAAGAATCAGCTGAAGACTAAATATTTTTTTAAAAAAATCTTTAATATATAAAATTATATTAATATTAATAGTACTCTACAGAGAGGAAGTATGTCAAAGTGTTTTTTTAATGGAACAATTTTAGACAGAATTGCAAAACTGTCTAAAATTGTATATTTAACGAAGTTGCAAAAGAAAAGCATATTAGAAGTAAGTGATGTTAGCATTGTGCAAATACAAAACTAAATGATCAGTGACAGAATCTTAAGGCATTTTTGCACATTTGTGGGGTTGCCTTTTAAAGTTTAAACATTTAACAATGTCAAAGTAGAGATAGTGAAGGTCTACAGATTGTTTTCTCAAAAGGTTAAGACTTGAGGTGATGCATTCAGCAAACAATCCTGTTTGGAGACTTAGCTGACTGGCACTACATGCAGGATTTAAAAGTGTAATTTATGTCAATGTCAATGTCAAATTTATTTATACAGCACTTTAAAACAGGTATAAAACTGCACCAAAGTGCTGCACAAGAACGACAGTAGCAATATAATTTACATAATTTAGCAATATAAAGTGTGAATTTTTCATGACAAGGTCACTACACCGAGATGTGATTCATTTCTGTTCAGTTCGATGAACATGACTTGCAGGTAGTACAAATAGAAACAATTATACAAGCAATCTGGGAAGAATTTAACAGATACAAAGGACATGCATGGCCTTGGATCTGGTCCTCAGGAAAGGTAACTGTAAGGGAGCTATAGACAGTCAATTGAGATGAAGAATCCAGTTCAATAAGTGAGTCATAAGAGCCTTCAGGTTGAACACAGCACAGGCCGAGACTGGCAGGAACTTGGTTAAAAACTAGCTGTGTGGTTCCTCATGTCTCTCTCTCTCTTTCATCAGGATTCATTGAAGGGTGGGACAGTCATGCTGGCAGCAGTCAAACAGGTAAGTTAGTCACCCATACAAGATGAGATGGTTCCAGATAAACGAGCCTCCCCTGTAGCGTCAGATCAAGACGCTACAGAGGAGGCGACAGACCAGAGCTCACTCGTCAGGAGGGCAACAAACTTTCTGTAGAAGAAACAAGAAGTCAATACTGGAAACCATAAAAGTTTAACCTGAAGCGACTGAGGCCTGATTACAAACTGGTAAGAGAACAATCCAGCGTCCATCTGGGAGAGCCGGTTCCCATATTTCAGCTTCCCTAAGGAGGCTATGAGCTGCAGCTGGAAGAGAGAGAGCACAACCAAATAGACAGCATACAGGTAGATAGACACACATTCAATTTCTCTTATTAAATATTAAAATAAAAAGGACTTTTAATCCAGAAATGACTGTTCTGACCTTGGACTTGATAAAATATAGTTGTCCAGCACCCTCAGGTGGCCTGACTGACCAGACTATCATTAACTGTGGAAACTTCTCACTAGAACTCAAGCGACTTGGATTGTGTGCCCCTCCGCTCCTCCAGACTCCAGCTGCAGTCCAGCCTTGTGAATCTGCTCCAATATCTTTATTGTGCTTTGCTCTGCAATCTATTGAAGGCTGCAGTCATCCATTGGTTGTGAGTTTTTTTTTTCTTCACACTTTTTCCTACCACTCAATTTTCCATTAATAGTGTCCTTTTTAAGAACCAGCTTCTGAACAAATGTACTTAAGTCACCTATTGTTATGAAAGCTGTTAACCTTCACGATGAAGTGTAGATAATAGCATTTCTACATTTAAAAACTTTTCTTCTTTCTTTTTTTTAAATCGGACATCTATTTTTAAAAACGTATGGGAACTCTACGCATTTTTTGCAGAAAACAAAAAAACAAAACAAAACAAAAAAAAACAAAAAACAAAAAAAAAACAAAAACAAAACAAAACAAAATATATATATATATATATATATATATATATATATATATATATATATATATACACCAACTTTTAAAAGAATCTATAAAAATGCACTAGTAATCAGTGCTACAACAAAACAAGACAAAAACAAAACAAAGTGGCGCTATGGGAAAACGTGCAAATTGCATTCTCGGTGTCAAGCGGCGCAGAGCTGCGGTCAAGAAACGGTTAAGCGCAAAGATGCAGGAGCTGCGTGAGTCCATCTGAGCATGTGCCGCTGGTGCCGCCACCGCCGCTGCTGCAGTGAAGTAAAAAAAAAAAAATGTGTGGATTTCCACAGGACAGAGCGGAGACGCCGCGCAGGAGAAGCCGGGCGACGGGGTAGCGAAAAGGCGCGGACCGACACCGACTCTTCCGGGCACGGCCTCACCGAGGGATGTGTCGGATTCGCCGGGCTGTGCGCCTGGGCAGACACCGCAGAGACCCTTCTGAAGGTAAAACCCCCAAATGTATTTCGCTGTGCTGATCGCAGAGATGGGGACACGCAGTCAACATGTTTGTAGTCAAGCGGAGTGACATTCGAGGGCAACAACATGTGATCCTGTCGGGGAATCTTTTGGGCTTTTATTTTCCTTTGACTATGCCATTTTACTCCCAACTTAATAGTGCTGCGCTATTGTTTTTTGTTTTTTAATTTAACCGTTTATTCAATTGAATGTCTAAAGCAGCCCCCCTCTCCTTTCATATTCAACAACAATATTGCGCGTGTTTTCTGCGCAGTCGCGCCGCTGCACCTGTTAAAAATCCGGATTATCGTAAGTTTATTCGGGAACCGCTCTGACTTAAAACCCCGTCTTTGTGGATCGCAAGAAACCCTTTTTTTTCAATGCGATACCAAAGAGTTGCAAAGTATGCCAGATATGAACTCGGTGCACGAGCTGCACAGCTCCATGTATGTTTAATTGCAGTGTGCGGAGAGAGAGGGTGCCGCACTGCTCATCATCATTGTGGTATACTTGATGCTGCAGCGGAACCCCCCTCCTCCCCCACCCAGGCCCCCTTCCACCCCCCCGCACCTCCCAGGGCCCCTCCGGCGGGGCCCTGCACCTTGCAGTTTCCCGGGAGAGATCAGAAGATCCGGCGGGCGTCCGGCGTGAAGAAAAGCCGTTCATTGGACGCAGCGTGGCTCCATCTGTGGAAGCCCTTTTTGCAGAAGCTTAAAAAAAAAAAAAGCCCGAATCGATTTATGCCACATAAACCCTGCAGTTCATTATCATTTGGGGGTGAGATAATCCCCCGCTGTCGCTTCCACTGTCGTCCATCGCCTGTTTCTAACCCACGCAAACCCACAGCGAGGAATCCCAAAATGACCCCGTATTATGACTCTGCGCGTGCACGTGGACACGAGATTAATATTTCCGTCGCGATGCAGCGGGTCTGTTCCCACTCTGTGTTCCCGTCTTGATGTTTTCACAATTCATAGGTCTCACTGTAAGTCACCTTATGGGGCCAAAAGGTAAATAATATTGTCATAGTGGTGGTTAATGAAATTGGCAAAGTGGCGCGGGCCCAGGACGGCATTGAGGGCGGCATCTAGGTTTGTAACCGCTGTAAGAAATCTTTTTTGTTTTATTTGTAATTTTTTTTGTTTTTTTTTGGGCTGTCTACAGACTTGAATTTGGCATTATAGTAAAGGACTTTTTCCACTCTTCACATAAACCCTGGACTGCATTTGCACATCTCCAGTTGAAATTCTAAAATATCCAAATTGTTGCACATTTTGGCTGCTTTGGCATTAAAACCACCTCAGAATTAAACAAGCGGATGTTGAACTTTATTCAAACTGAAAGTGCACAAAGCAGCCAAGTGCAGTGGCGCAGTGGAATATGCCGCTGCAAAGCGTTTTCCAAGCAGCATTAGCGCGTAAAACCTGATATGCCTGATAATATTAGAGAATGTTGTGAGTGTATTTAGTCTGTCACTGGTGATAAATAGGCAATTAAAAAAAATAACATATATATTTTTGCTTCAGGTTGATAGCAGTCCCAGCAACTCATTTTTATTGATTTCTTAGACTTCAACACCTCTTCATCTTCTTTGTACCTTTGTTTTTTTTTGTTAATGCATTAAATATCAAGTATAACAATGATATTGCAGGAATTTGGATTTAAGTAACAAAATATTTAGGTAAAAATTTTTGCAATACAAGCAGATCTTTGTGTTGCACACAGTTATATTGCCATGACAACAAATTTGCTAGATATCGCTTAGCCACCAAACGGATTATAAAATAAAATCAATAAAAAAAACTCATTCAGAAGTAAATAAGTACCTGAAGCAAATAATGACCTGTTTTTAAAATTACAACTTTATTTAGGATCCGCCTTTCCTGTGCTGCATTCTGTCACGACTTTTAATATGTGAGACTGTGCGAATTGCTCGATATAGTGACATCCGATTCTGGGTCAACGGCTTTCCCTGTGTCACGTCATGTCAGGGTTATCTCATCTGCCAGCGATCCCGTCACTTTACAGTGTGTGGGAATCACCGTTACGATGGATGGGGACATATCCAAAGAATCCCTGGTTCTCAATGACTCTCAATGTTTGCAAAACCAATAAAAAAACAAACAAACAAACAAAAAAACAAATCAATTTTATCCCTCTCCCGTCTCCTGCTCCCCGCCCCTAGTTTAAAAGGAGGTCACCCCATGCCAGAACTGGCCCTGTTTCTACACACTGAGCTTATGTGTTTGGAATTGATGGAATGCTACGAATAAACTGTCTGCATCTTATCACCCGACCGGTTTAGCAAATATCAAAAAAGTCGGGGAGTTTGTGGCATGAAAGCAAAGGGACACTTCTAAAGTCACTCGGAGAGTTTGGCCTTCGTCTCACCCTCTAAACGTTAGTTGTCCCTTTCTCTATAAATAAAATACTCAGCTCGTCATTCCAGTTCATTGATTTGAACAAAAGCCTCAGTAGTGAACTGGGTTGACTCGGACAGGACATTTCTGAACCTCTATTGTTTTCCACAGATCTCTTGCCATAAAACCAACATCAATTATGCATGACCAACGATTGATTACAAAGCTTCCACATCTGATTGCCAGTTGAGTCCCCGTCCATTAGGTGCATCCATCTCCATTTCACTGCTTCCACGGTGACAATGGCTATAAAACTCCAGATTTTTCCATAGGAGCTCTAAGATTTAATGCATAGCTTGACCCATAAATATCAGAGCTTCAACTTCTCAGGATCTGGAACTTCAAGATGACAAAGTGTTTGTACCTCTCAAACTTTTTCAGTTTGTCACATTGCAGTTAGAAACTTCATGTATTTGGTGTGGCGCTACGACAGACCGACAAAGTAAACACATAAACGCCAGACGTCTTTAGTCAGTACTTCAGCAACATTTTCATGCAGACCTTTCTGTTTTTTTTTTTTTTTTAACCTACTTTGCCCGTCCAGAACTTTAAAAATTTGCTCATTCTAATTTGAAAAATAGCTGCAGATCAGTCAGATTGCATGAAACATATTAATTTCCACGTCAAAGATTCTCTACTGGATTTAGGTTTGGACTTTGACTGGACCGTCGAGTCCACTTTTATCTCCAGCGCCGCAGTAACTCTGGTTCTATGTTAAAGGTTGCTGTCATGCTGAAAGGTGAAATCTCCACCAAGTCGACCTTTTGAATAAAGATACTAATTTTTGACAAGCACTTTCTGTAGAAGATCTGATGTCATTCTTAAATAATCTCTATAAGGTAATCCCATATTTCCTGTTTGTCATTGTAGCTGTTTTAAACTTTTTAATTATTGCTTGCACATTCTGGGGTAAAAAGGGCAAGTTTTGGTATGTTTCTATCTGCCTTACTTTTATGGCTTCTCTTTCCCATGTTGTAGAGTGGCTCAGAAATGTAGCCGCTGTGTTGCTTCATATTTATACTGTAGGGGGAAAAAAGTTGTGAGTTATATTTTAAAAGCTCTTAGAAACTCTGATCAGCATAAAAATGAGAAAATGAAGAAAAAGGCCTAATTATTTTATGGGTTTATTGAACGCAATTATGAGCACAATCATTACTTTCTAACATAATAAGAGAAATATTTCTTTTTATATGAGATCCTCTCCACCCGCTCAATAAATGTACTTCAATTACTGGTGGGATTTGTTTTCTGAAATTTCCAGTGTGAGATTATGCTGATGCAATAAAAGATGGCTATGTGGATAGTTTTTTTTTTTTTTAAAACAGTTTTTTCCTCTTGTCATACTTATTCCAAATCTTTATAATCATAAAGGTGACATGAATTGCTATATAGATCTTGATGAATCAATTATTTTGCTAATACTTTTTGAGTTACACACCAATCTGTTTTATTGGAGCCCAAACGGAGCCATTGCTTCCAGTTTAAGGTACCGACATGTTGCCCAGACAGCTTTATGAATCACTTTAATCAAAGACTTAGAAAGTTCGACCTTCTGTTATATAACGGACGTGTTTGGGAAAGCTTATGTTTTGACTCGTCACGTTTCTCACAAGAAGCCTCTTTGCTTCCACGCATGACTTCAGGTTCTATTTCTTGCCAATCAATAAAAAGCCTTTTGGATCTGGAACCCACCTCCCTGTTTACATAAATCCTTCCTCCTCCGCCGCTCTGCGTCACTCGCCAAAGCTTTCACCTTGCGGTTATGGAGAGGATGCCTTTGATAAAGTTGCACGGGCTGCGCCGGAGCTTTTAGTGTCAGTGCTTCCTGGCGCCTTTCCAGCCTCACCTGAGAGCATTATTGAGAGACCTTTCTAATTATAGAGCTCAAACATGCAAACCGAGGCTTTATGCTGCAAAGGAAGCCGTGCATCTGTCTGAAAAAGCATCATTGCATGTAATCAAAGGATTAGACGCAGTTCGGAGGCGACATGTTTGCAAACCTTACAAAGAAATGGCAGCCTTGGCGAGGAGTCGGAGAAACTGCCAAGAGAATGTTGTTAACTCTTGGGGAGCTGCAAAAATTCCTCAGCTCAATTGGAGTATGCCACAAGGAACCAGGAGAAAGAGGTGCTCTGGTCAGAACGGGGCAAAAGTTGAACTTTTTCGGTCCGGACATCTAAGATCTCGCACCACCCCTGAGGTGAGGCATGGTAGTAGCAGCATAATGCTGTGGGGACCTCTTTCTTCAGCAGCAACAATGAATCTGGTCAGAGTTAATGGAAGAATAGATGTGACAATCCTTAAAAAAACAAAACAAAACTATAAAAGGCTGCAGAAGACTTGAGTTTAGTTCACTTTTATGCTGACTGACCTTTGGATCAAAGCGTAATCATGTCTTACAATGGCTTAGTGAAAATCCAGACCTAAATCCACTTGGGAATTTTATTTTATTTATTTCCAAAGAAAAGAACAATAGAAAAATCTCAGTTCGTTTGGGTCCAGAGCAGCAAAAAGACTGATCAAACTTCGACTGAGAAGCTGAATACAAACACATCCCATTATTTTCCC